CACATCATCGCTGGATCTTCAGAGGAAAACTGCACCTTCTACAGGAGCACTGCTTCAACAGAACCACATCCGTCATCCAGGAGGACTGCAGCCACCATTTATAGGGACTGCTACCAACACCCTGACTGACAGGGTGTCAGGTTGTATTTCTGACTGTGTTGGTGGTTGTTTCTTTTATATTATTGCATGTATTATAGTTTTTCTCTTTTTTCCTATTAAATTGTATTACTGACTTGGAGTCTCGCACTGGTTTTACTTTCAAACCAACGCAGTACAAGATCCTGGATTTAGAGAGTCAGCCAGATGATTTAGAAGAAAATTATCTGAACAGTGAGCCTCCCAATTACGCTTCATCTGTGAAACGGATCACCACCTCCAACATCAAAAAGAAAAGATGGGTAAACGTAGCGGGTGACTCCCTTCTGAGGGGAACAGAGGGGCCCATATGTTGACAGGACCCATTCCACAGGGAGGTGTGCTGCCTCCCTGGGGCCCGGGTGAGGGACATCACCAAGAGATTTCACAGGCTGATTCAGCCGTGTCATTACTACCCACTGCTGATACTCCAGGCTGGCAGTGATGAGATTGGAAAGAGGAGTGTTAGGGCAATGAAAAGGGACTTTAGGGTATTGGGTCAAGTGGCTGATAGGGCAGGGGCACAGGCAGTGTTTTCCTCAGTCCCTTTGGTGGCTGAGAAAAACAGTGAAAGGAATGGGAGAGCTCACATTTTTAACATGTGGCTCAAGAGTTGGTGTCATTGAATTTCGGGTTCTTTGATCATGGGGCAACTTTTACAGCACCTGGCCTACCGGTACTGGATGGGCTCCATCTCTCTGTTGAGGGCAGAAGGATTTTAGTTTATGAATTGGCAGAACTTGCTGAGAGAGCTTTAAACTATGTTTGAAGGGGTAAGAGGATGCAGCTGGGCTGTCTGAAAGCAGGCTCAAGGGTGATAAGCCTGAGCTAGGGGTGAAGTCAGTAGCCCAGCTGAGGTGCATGTATACCAATGCATACAGCATGGGTAACAAACAAGAAGAGCTGGAGGCCATGGTACAACAGCAGAGCTATGATGTAGTTACCATCACAGAAACATGGTGGGATGACTCACACAGCTGGAGCACTGCACTGGATGGCTACAAGCTCTTCAGAAGAGGCAGGAAAGGGAGAAGAGGTGAAAGGGTGGCCCTTTATATTAGGGAGGCTTTTGATGCCATAGGTATTGAAACTAATGATGATGGAGTTGAATGCCTATGGGTAAGAATTAAGGGGAAGGCCAACAAGGCTGACATCCTACTGGGAGTCTGTTATTGTCCACCCAATGAGGAAGTAGAGGTCGACAAGTTATTTTTTAGGCAGCTAGAGAATGTTTCAGGATCATCAGCCCTTGTTTCTTGTAGGTGACTTTAACCTGCCAGACATCTGTTGAGAACTTACTACAACAGAAAAAAAGCAGTCCAGGAAGTTTTTAGTGTGTGGAGAATAACTTTTTGTTGTAGCTGGTGAGTGAGCCCACCAGGGGAGAGACTATGTTAGATCTGTTGTTTGTAAATAGAGATGGGCTGGTGGGAGATGTGGTGGTTGGAGACCGCTTGGGGTACAGTTATCATGGAATTAGAGAATTCTCGAGATTTGGTGACATGAGGAGGAACATCAGTAAGACTTTAACATTAGATTTCCTGAGGACAGACTCTGGCCTGTTTAGGAGACTTATTCAAAGAGTTCTTTGGAAGGAGGGTCAGGTGTCTCAGGAAGTATTTAAGGGGGCTGCTAGGGCATGTAGGAAAAAAATTAGGGACACCAAAGCTCAGTATGAAATTAAAATGGCAAATTCTGTAAAGGATAACAAAAAAATGTTTCTACAAATACATTAATGATAAAACGAAGGATAAGACCAACCTCTACTCTCTATTGGATAAGGGAGGGAACTTAGTTACTGCAGATGAAGAGAATGCAGAGGTGCTTAATGCCTTCTTTGCCTCAGTCTTTAGTGGGAAGATGGTTTGTCCTCAGGATAACTGTCCTCCTGGACTGGTAGATGGTGTTAGAGAGCAGAATGATCCCCTTGTTATCGAAGAGGAGGCAATCAGGGAACTGCTGAGATGCTTGGATGTTCATAAATCTATGGGACCAGATGGGATCCACCCCAGGGTGATGAGGGAGCTAGCAGATGAGCTTGTGAAGCCACTCTCCATCATTTACCAACAGTCCTGGCTCACTAGTGAGGTTCCAGATGACTGGAAGCTGGCCAATGTGACACCCATTTATAAGAAGGGTGGGAAGGAGGATCCTAGTAATTATAGGCCAGTTAGCCTGACCTCAGTATCAGGTAAGGTTATGGAACAGTTTATACTAAGTGCCATCATGCAGAATTTTTTTACACTCTGAGCCAGAGGGGGGGAGTCAACAGTGAGATCTAGAGAAACACACACCTAAGACACTGGTTGAAACCACAGCTATGACTTCTCATGGCTGGCTCTGCTGGTTGCCTGGCAACTGAGGTGTCTGCTCAAGTGACAGGTGACACAGTGCAGCCGGACAACAGGGAATGGGCAGTCTTTACCAATGTGGTCACTGCATCTCAGGTGATCTTGAAACAACTGATGGGCAAAGAAGTGATGTTAACGAAGTAGCAATTGGCTACTCTTCTGAAGCTGAGGTAGGTAAATTTTACTAGGCTGATGTAGGTATGAAAATGCCACATAGCAGAATACATTAATTTGAAACATATATCTACCTAATAAGACCTGAAAGTTTCATGTTTTCCTGCGGTTATGAGCCTGCAAGCCCTTCCACACAGGCAAATATTTGTGTCCTTGATTAACCTCGGCCAATAACTCAAACAAAGCTGTGTCTGATTAAGGTCCACATCTGCAAGCTTCAGAAAATGTTTTGTAGAAAAATGTGGTTGTTGGCCAATCCTGACTGCTGCACATAAGTTACATCTGATAGAACAAAATGTGAGAATTTAGACTGAAATTTCCTTAGACACCAGGGCAGCACTATTTTTCTTGTTGATTTTGTAATCACTGCCTCAGCATAATTATCCATTTCTTGTAAATGTGAAAACTGGGTGGAGGAGAGAAGAGGTTAGGTTATTTTTCAAAAGACAGGATACATCCCTTTGCCTCTAACTTCTGAAGACTTCAGTTTACGACTCACTGTGTCCACAGTGAAACGAAGTTGTGATCACAATTCTAGACCTGGTCCAACACATACTGAAACCAATGGGAGACTTTCTGTTGACTTAAATGGAAGCTGGGTCATGCCCTGAGCAGACACTACTGCACATATAACAAAACCCCTCTCCAATTTTCTTCTGCCAATTTTGGATGGTAGAAGACATGAACCTGGAAACATTAAAGACCCCTGAGGTCAGATATTGTCTACAACAAAAATTTAATACGGGAAAAACCAATAAGCTCACCTGTCTGTACTCTGCCTCTTTCTAGCCCTACCAACCCACACAAAACTGCATCCAGAGCAAGTATTTATCAAAAACGTAAAAAGGTAAGATCTTGGCAAAAGGCAAACTCTGGCCCAGAGTCTAAAATATAGAATAATTATTCAATCTTAAAGTTTTCAAATAAAATAAACATAAGCTTGAAGAAATGAGTGTAGTACAACTTAGGAGCTAGAAAAAACTTGCATCAGGCTTTGTAGGCACAGTTTTATGCTTGTCAAACACGAAAGTCAACCTAAGATTTGCAGAAGAAGGGAGGCATGAGCACCCCATGACCAGTGTCAGACTCTGTGTTCTGTCAGCAGACCACAAGCAAACACCTGTGTGTTGTTTTCAACATTCTTCATATGGCTCCTATGTAAAAACAGTGATGAAAAAATGAAACACACAAAACAATTCTAAGAGCATCAGAGGATTTGGAGGGAAAGGATCACAGAAGAGCATATGCTTTGGAAAGATTAAAACAATTACTATGCAGTGCTGATATGAAATTGATTGCCAGGAAAGAAAGACAGCAGCAAAAAGGAATATTGATCTTTCAACAGAAGAGACCATTAATTTTGTCGATACAGCATTTGTAGGCTGGTCTTTACCTTGTCTCACACATCTCCAGAATGGACACGCTATTATTTGAACAATTCATACGTGGGAGAGGCCAAGGTATGGACAGACCTGCTATCTCCACACTAGCAGGTATGACATGTTGTCTGAAAGTGATTGACACTCAGTAGACAGAAATGTCTCACCAGGAAGGCCTCTCTAGGCCGATCAGTTCTTCCACCCAACCTGGGCTTGGCAGGGTGGGGAAGAAAAAAGATGCTCTTTTAGTCAGCATTTTTCTACATTTGCTTTTCAGCAAACCAAGAAACAGACAATGACACAGGGATTTTTGGGATTAGTTATGGGCTTAACAGATACATCCTGTATAAATGAAGAACAGGAAGGCCCTGCAGGGCTGTGCAATAGGAATGAATACACCGTAACACAGGTAATGGATGCATCCTGACTGACTTAGGACCAAGCACTGGCAAGGACCAAGAAGGCCCAGAGAACTTGTAACTCAAACTTGTTAGCAAATTACTGAGATAGAACCTTCTCCCTTGCCTCATAACATTATTCACATGTTCGAGTATAACCTCTTCATTATACTTCACATTTTTTGATTAGCTTCCAACTCCATTTTAATAGCAAAAGAGTTGGGGGGGGGGGGCGGGAATATCTCTGAAGATAAAAAGCTGACACTGTTGACCTTCAATCTCTTGGTATATACACATACATATCTACAGGAAAGATAGATCCAAGTCATGTTGGTGACAGGTTTCCTAGCGCCAGCTGTTCCCAGCATGCCGGTGCGTCTCCTCTGCCGTCCCTGCACTCCCCCGACTCATGCAGGGGAGGGACCCCCGACTCACGCAGGGGAGGGACCCCCCCTTCCCGGCTTTGCATCACCCCACACGCCCCGGGAGGTGCCTCCGGGCTCTGTGCCGACCTTCACCGCCCCACCCGGCCCAGCCCCGCCGCAGGTCCTGCCGCCACCTCCTTCTTGCAGGGGATAAGCGCCTTCCTCTCCTCCAGGACGCGGAGGCGCTGGTTGGGGCCGTCGTAGGAGACAGCGGCCCGCGTATTGCGGCCTGAGCCATGCTCGTTGAACACGGTACGCCGTTCCCAATGCCGCGGCGCCTGGCACGGCTCGGCCGCCGCCTCTCCACCACGCAGCAGGAGGACGCCCAGAAGCAGCCGCAGCCGCAGCGGCGGCCCTGGCCCCAGGCTGGGACAAACTGCTTTAATGTTGATGTCGCCCTCATTTTAGTGCCTCCCCACGGACAGTGTCACCAAGCATTCCTTCACCACTTGCATTCCTTCATCTCCCAGTTCCTTCCTAGGTGTATCAGCTAAGTTTCCTGCCTGGTCTGGATGTGCTTTCCTCACCCACTAAGGGAAGGGGAGACCCGTGCCGCACAGATGCTCCGTATCTGCTGCTCTGCTGCATCTGCAGAGGGCAACACCGGTGGCACCAGGGTACCTGTCTGGGGCAGGTACCCCTGAGCCACGCTGGGACTCTCTCAGGTCACTGGGATAACCTGGCATTGAGTTAATCTTATCTCATCAGGTCCTCAGAGACTGGGGAGTGGCATTTCCCACAGAGAAGAACTGGCCCAGAGGTGCAAGGTAGGAAGATGGCTGTGAGGGAGCCCTTTGTCCCCGCGTGGGCACACCATTCTGCTGCACCAGGGGCGCGTGGCCGTGGACCACCAAGGGAAGGAAAATAAAAAACAGCTTGGGAAAAGTCCGAAGCCTCTTCGTGTGCAGATGCGATTGGTGAGGGACAGAGGCTGGGGGAGCGGGGCGGCGGGCTGACTTGCCCGCACAGCAGCCTCACACCGACCCTGTGCTGCCTCGGCCCCGCCGCCAGCTCTCGTCTCAGCTTGGCCGCCGCTGCTTCCCCTGTCCCGAGCAAACTGAGCCACGAGCCACCACCCCGTCTGTTCGCCAGTCCACTTCACGCCTTTCCCCTCCGTGCCGAGCTCATGGAGGGAATTCTGCAAAGCCCTGAAGGCGCTGGGAACAGCTGCCGGAGCTCGCTCAAGCCCGCAAAAAGTTTCTTCTCCCCTGAGAAAACGTGGCACATAAAGTACAGCCCCACGGGAAGAGGTCGCGGTTCCTACCGTCGCCTTCCCTCTCCTCGCGCCAGAGCGCAGAGCCCCGCAGCAGAACCATGTGGTTTGCGTTTCCTTCCCCCTCGCCTCGCCCCCTTCCACCTGAAGAAATTTATGACACAGATGAAAACTGAAACGGAGCTGGAGCGGTGGCCGAGACACTCAGTGATGTCACCGGGGGATTAAACAGGGTGGAGGTGATGTCACTGTGCCTGCAAAGCAAAACACACACATACACGCACGCCCCCCACCCCCCGGAGGAGTGGGGCTGCCAACAGAGCGCGATCGGCCCCACGTCAGTCGTGCCACTGGTATAAATGTGGTCCTGCAATGTCCATGGCTGTCGGCGTGGTGGCTCCCGCGACTTGACTGCAGCAGGGCTCTCGGGGGCAGCACCGCTCCACTCCCTTCGGCCGCCAGGACCCGCGGTGCGGCTGCAGGAGGCGGAGGACAAGGAAAAGAAGGAGGAGGAAGAGAATGCTGCGTGCCTTGGTGGTGGTGTCCCTGTGGCTGCGGGTGAGCCCGCGGGCGCAGGGCGGACCATGCGAGGCGGTGCGCATCCCCATGTGCCGCTCCATGCCCTGGAATATCACCTGCATGCCCAACCACCTCCACCACAGCACCCAGGAAAACGCCGTCCTCGCTATCGAACAATACGAGGAGATGGTGGCCACCGGCTGTAGCCCGGTCTTGCCCTTCTTCCTCTGCGCCATGTACACCCCTATCTGCACTCTGGAGTTCCTCTATGACCCCATCAAGCCGTGCCATTCCGTCTGCCAGTGCGCCCGCCACGGCTGCGAGCCCATCATGCGCCGCTACAACCACAGCTGGCCCGAGAGCCTGGCTTGCCACGACCTCCCTGTGTATGACCGCGGCGTCTGCATCTCCCCAGAGGCCATCGTCACCGACGTGCCGGAGGGTGAGAACCCTGGGGGCAGAGAGAGATGGGGAGTGAGGACTCCCTCCATCCCTGCGGGACGCCCCAGGGTGGGACGGGGGAGCTGCGGGACCCCATGCTCCAGTCCTGGAACCTCTACCGACAGTTTCACTCCCTGACGCACCTCTGTTTGCAGATGTGAAGTGGATGGACTTCACACAGGGCTTTATGGTGCCGGACAGACCCCTGGAGCCTGACTGCAGGAGCCGTGGCCAGGGTGAGCCTAGGACGATACCCCAGCCTCCACCTCCCCAGAGACTGGGTCCCTCTGACACCCCTCAACCTTCCTCCCTTCTCTTCCTTTGAAGAGCAGTGCAGGTACAAAAAGACAAAGCCTACGCTGTCAACCTACTTGGCCAAGAACTACAGCTACAGTAAGTGCATGGGGGAAATGCTTCACTTTGCTTGTCCCACACCCTCCTTGGGTCCCTGCAAGTTATGCAGCTCTGTGAGGGTGCTGAACCTACACCAGGCCCATCCAGCAAGTGTGGCATTAGAAGACTGCTCCAACACAGCCTTTCCAAGTGGGTGTTTGCCTGGGGATACCTACCTGTCCTCTTCCAAAATGGAAACTACTGGCAGTAATAGTAGTTGCACAGATCATGTTGTGTTTCTGACAAAAGCAGCAAAATGTCAGTAATGTGCACCCTTCTGCTCTGCAGAAAGGGTGGTTGCTGCTACGAAGGTCACTCATCTGATGTGAGTGTGATGACTTGGCCAGCTCCTGTTTTCATCCAGCATGTAGAATAAACAGGACTTTGCTACCCCAATAAAACTTGTAAATGTGAGCCAGCTGCTGTTGCATTTCCTAGGTGCATTGTAAATGGTACATTCCGTGACCCCTGCTATGCCCTGTAGCTTGGTCCCTCTCCCTTCCTGGCCATACAGGGCTGGCTGGGATCCAATTTCTCCCCGCCCCCCTTTCCAGACCCTAGAAAAGATCTGTGCCCCCTGACCTCTATCTCTTTTTCTCTCTTTTTCCCTCTTCCTCCCTCTTTTCCTCGCTACCCACGAGAAATAAACCCTGTAACTTCCTCAGGGAAAAGAGCCTCTTTTGTTATCTTATTTTACGTCCATGAGGCAAGGGCCCCGGGAAGCTTCACCCTAACAGCTGAGCTAGACTGGAGGAAAGGTGAAGACCCCATTTTAGGGCCTAGAAAAAGCCTCAAGCTGCAGCGAAATAAAACGTTTTTGGAAGGTATGATAGGTTGACTTAGGAAGAAGAAACTCAGAGAGAGATTTTCTCTAAGAGAATTTCCTCTGTGGGGGTTGGGATACCTTCAACAGCCAATTAGAGAAAGTTAGTTCGCTCCATGAACACACATTTTGAAGGAGGTAATCTGGAACTGAGGCTCTTTGTCTTTCCGGCGGCTGAGCAGGTAACATCAACCTGAGATTCCCCCTCCCCCATGTGGGGGGAGAGGCTCAGGAAGCCGCTTGGGCCCCGTTTTCCGACGAGGGGGACCCGATGGCCGGGGGGAGAAAAAAGTTGTGTGATAAGACCTTCACAGCTTCCTCCTCCACGGGCCTGCGGCTCTGGCGTGGGGGGGGAGGCCGACTCTTGCTGCTGTTGGACGGGCCGGGCCTGCCCGGGTGGCCATGAGCAGTGTGGGGCTGCAGCCCAGCCCCAGAAAGGCTGATTAACACCTCAGCTCCCCCCCCTGAGCAGCCTGAGCCTGGCCCATCTTTTGTAGTTGTGTTAAACCTTAACTCTTTAGTGTTCAGATAAGATTTGCAAAGCCTCCACCCTTTCCTTTGAATATGAAAAGGAATAAGATTTCTGAAGTCAGTGACATAAGAGCTAAGTTTTTAAGATGGAAGGAGAATGAGAAGATGCTGAAATGGCTGAAAATCTTTTTGTAAAATTGTAGGGATGAACTAATGTACTGAATATTCCTATAAACCATGGAAATAGACATGGGGGGATGGAAATGTTCCATTTAATAGATGATTTGACTAAAGAGTACCTGTGTTGAGAATTTCTGCCCTGAGAAAAGAAGGGGATTTCGGTTTCCTGAAGATGAAGCCTGAGCAGAGAAAAAGGAAACAGAGAGAATTTATGTTGTCAAACATTTCATTCTTAAAAGTAATACCCCATGAAACAGACATGGCCCACATCTACAACTTTGGGATGGCTGTAGAGTTGGGAGGAGTGTTACGATTGCAGGTTCCCGGGTGGATGTAAATTGTGAAAGATAAAACCACAAGAGAACTGTCTTCTTCTTTCTTGTGGAAAAAATCCCTACAGCTTTCAACAAAAGGAGGCTTCTCTCTCTGGAAGTCAACTGAAAAAGACTAAACTGGGGACTGACCGAAGTATTTGTTATATGTTTGTTTTGTTGTTATGAAAGTTGGGAGAGGGAGGGGTGATCTGAAAAATCTTATTCTGAATTTTTTTTTCCTTTTTCTTTGTTTGTGTAGTTAATATATTTTCTTTTATACTCTCTCAAGTTTTAGGCTTGCCTTGCTCTTTTGCTCCTGGTTCTGTCTCACAACAGGAAAATAAGTTTATTTAAATTGGTAACTCAAACTGAAAACATTAATTTGGTGCATTGGCCGGGAAAGTAAAAATTAAACCAAGACAGAAGGTTATGTATGCTTTTACTTACTAGCCAGAGTTCTGTCTGGTGCAGAATGTCAGAGATTTACTGAATTCAGTGACAATTTGTCCCATCCAGCCAAGGTCAATAGTTTTATTACATGTTGCATGACATGTTGGCAATAAAACAAAGTATTTACTCCTCTTCCCCCTTGGCTTCTCCCTTCTCAGATTTATGATGGTGTGAGTCAAGAAGAACTCTAATTAAGATTAGGTAAATGCCACATTAAACCTAGTGTTAATTACATAGCCTGTATTAACTATGAATTTAATATCCATTGCTGCTTCATTTTGCATTTTGCAAGCATTTTTTCAGATGGCAGGTTTTTTCCCAGTCATTTATCCAGTTCTTTTGCAGTAGGGATATAATTCAATTCCTATTTGTTTGATATCAAATTAAAATAAGTTTGTAGTAATTTGCTTCTTTGTTAGCATGTTTGCTGGGAATAATCAAGCTGAACCTCTAGGTTAGGTAATTGTACAATATTTTGTTCATTATAGCATTCTGGTGCATTTACATGACATGCTCTTTTTATATAATTCCTTGATCTGCATCAGTACAACATAGAGATATGTTTGGGTGGAGTAATGATCTTCCACAGTTGCCTGAAACATATGAAATGTAGTGATATCAAATGATTGTTCAAAAATGAAAGACAGGTGTTAGCCGTGTAAATTCTGATTCCAGTGATTTCAGTGGTAGTGTTCCTTGAGTAAAGGCTGTACGTTGGAGTCCAAAATTTAATTCTATTGAATTTGTGAAATCAGGATTTTGCTTTTGAGATATAAATTTTTGTTCAGCACCCTCTGAGATAAATAGACCTATTGATATGGAAAATTAATTGAGGGACGAGATTCAATGGATTGAAAATCAATCAATTTTTTTTCTGCAAACCCTTAAAATAAGACATACAGCCAAATTGTACTTTTAGCTATCAGAACCAATCAAACTTTAACATGGATTTGAGTCTCCAAAACTGAAATTCCTCACGTTTTTTGTCTGTTGTACGTGTCCTGATAAAGGTAGCTCATAAACCCCAGACTGCATTAAAAGTGCTGGTCTCCTGTTTTCTATGTGTGAAGTTTATTCCAAATGTTATGAGGTTCGTGTGAAGGCTTTTGACCCGGTGGCTGGCAAGGGCAGGCTGATAGCCCTGTGGTCTGTATGCTTCTAATGCTTTTTTCACTGAAAAGTGTTTGGACAGTAGAAGCCTTTCTATTTTGACATTTCCTAGAGACAAAATCCTTTATGTAAAAATTATACTTAGTTTATTAGATCTGATATTTCTCACAAGAGAGAAGAGATGAAATGCTGAAGTGGTAGGTCATGCCAGCGTTTGTAGGCACGAAGTTAGCCAGGGATCATTTCAGAGCAATCTGTAGCATTTCACATTCTTGCATCCATGCAGACATGCAGTTTTCCTCAATGAAAGGTAAAAATACAAATGATTGTGTATTCAGTAAAAGAAACCCGTTTCAGTGTCTCATTTATATGAGGATCTCACTATTGGTATAGAATCTAAACGCAAAAGATGAAAAAAAGTATAGGTCAAGTAAATCATGGCAATCCTAAGCCTCTTAAGTTTTTTGACTATTGTTTCTAACCTTCCCTTGTTTCTTATATTTAAGGAAAAACTATTTCCTGGTTGCAATCTACAGGAAGTTATTTTATTATTGAAAAGAGTGAATTCATGACAACTGTCTGTGAGGTAAATTATTCATTATTTAATTGGAAAAAGCCAGATGTGGCTGGAGAGTGGGTTAGATTTATGCAAAGGGTTGTTCAAGTCTGAGTTGAAGGAGCTGTTTGTGTGTGTGATTCCAGGCAAGATTGGTTAGCCTGATCTGGCAAAGATTTAAGCACATGTTTAATTTCACAGTTGTCAGCAGTCCTACTGAAAACCAAATCAAGATTAGGCCTGTTATTCTAAGCCACGGTTCATGTCCAGGCAGAAGTAGTTCTAGTTTCACAACCAAAACAACAGCTTCCAATTAAATACATTTTAATTCTGTGTCCTGGGGTACAATGCAAGAATGTGTATTCTATCACCATCTGTTAAAATGTAGGAGGGGTGGTGATCCTTATCTCTGTGAGAGATATCCTCTGCTGATGTGCCATTTGATAAGATCGGGGGATGATCATCGTTATCTATTCACAACCCATCCTTCCTCCAGAAGATATATTCCGTTAATGGGCCATTAAGTCCTATTGTGTGACTGATAAGATTACATCATCCCATTGGGAGATGCCCCAGCCAGGGCAGGAGCCAAGCCTTTCCTACCTAGATAAAAACCTGGGGTTTGGGACGTGAAGGCAGACCTTTCCACTGGATCCCAGGGAAAGTCAGACCATTTCCACATCATCGCTGGATCTTCAGAGGAAAACTGCACCTTCTACAGGAGCACTGCTTCAACAGAACCACATCCGTCATCCAGGAGGACTGCAGCCACCATTTATACGGACTGCTACCAACACCCTGACTGACAGGGTGTCAGGTTGTATTTCTGACTGTGTTGGTGGTTGTTTCTTTTATATTATTGCATGTATTTTATTTTTTCTCTTTTCTCCTATTAAATTGTATTAATGACTTGGAGTCTCGCACTGGTTTTACTTTCAAACCAACACATTCTGACATGTTTAAATTTCTAAGACTGTTCATTGTTCTCACTCCTGTATTTTTCTATTTGCAGTCATTCACGCTAAAGTAAAAAGCATAGAAAGAGGGAACTGCAATGAGATAACGACTGTTGTTGAAGTCAAAGACATACTCAAGTCTTCAACACCAATTCCTCTGTCCCAAATGCCCCTTCTTACAAATTCCTCCTGCCACTGCCCACCTCTTCAACCAAAGCAGGATGTTCTCATCATGTGCTATGAGTGGCACTCAAGGTGAGCTGTGATTATGTGGTGCAAAACAGTGTTAGAGCTGGATGTGTTAGATGGGAAGGAGGACCAGAAAAGCTCTCTCTCTCATCATAGGCTCTTTTTGCTGATAGTTTTTCTTAGTATAACTCATACACACATATACATGTTTCCATTACTTTCACAGCTGATTTTTTCCACTTCATCAGCCTCAGCTCTGCGCCATGATGTGGTGTTTGCAAAATATGGCTCACGCAAAGAGTGTAAAATCTGTTGACATTAGGTGCTGATAGCATATTGATAAGGCATCATGCAGCAGTTCAGTCACCTCCAGCTTGGGAGTGTTTTTCCAGGACCACTTTCCACAGGGATGAGCTGCTTTGTGTGCAACAAGTCAAATGGTGGCTGTGTTGGCAGGACCACATGGAAGGCGTTCTGTCTCACCAAGGGAGGGGGCAGGAGATGATACACATCTTCTGTCAGCAGAGCTGCTGGAGTCAGGGCCAGGCCTTCTCCGCTGGCCTGTCCATACTTTGGACTAATGCCATCAATGTGATGTTTCCGATCCCACAGCCATACTGGGACCAGCCAAAGCTGCAGCCACTGGAGATCCATGTCCCAGATTGCAGCTTGCCAATCCTGCTGTATGATTAAAAGAAAAAACAAAACAAAACTAACTTTACCAGACCTTTCATCTGGCAGTCAGCCTAGCCCCAGACATGGAAGAAAATCCAGAGTGCTGGTCTGGAGGGAAAGGAGTGATGAATCACAGCTTCCTTTTCTCCCCGGTTTCTTGAGACAGACGGGGACATCCTATCCCCCATTAGCACCCCAAGTGCACCAGTAGATGCCAGCAGAGCAGGTTGTGGTGTTTTAGGTTCTGTGTTGACGTGTCTGTTGTGGTTTGGAGACAAGGCTGTTTGTAAAATGTGCAAGCTGGTTTTACATATTGTGAGGTTGCTGTTAATTGGTCACACACACTTGTAAGGACCACACAACATCCATGTGTGGGATATGATGGGCCATATCCATATTTTTAATGAGTTTGATGTTGATATTTTGGCAGCATTTTATAAGTGTTTCTAAAATTTGTCATCTGTTATTGTATTGTTTTAACTTGTTTTTTGGTGAGCTAGCAAACACAGTATTTTATTACTACCCAGCTCTTTGCTCCTCCAGGTCTGGAAGTATTTCACAAATATTAATGTAGATCACTCAGTTTGTGTTCGTCATTTTAGGGATACAAGCTCTGATTCATGTAGAAGGACTATGACCAGAACAGCGATGGGGGAGCTCTGGGTTGCAGAGGATCCTCTGGAGGCTGATAGGAAAGGGAGATTTCATAAGTCAAAAATCAGAATCAGCATCTCCATTATTATGGAAAAGCACTCGATTCCCTAAATATCTTGTGATGGTTTTTAAAGGTCATTGAGATTTTAAATTTCTTATAGTATAATAAAATGGATTTGCAAAAGAAACATAAACTATTATATGTGCTTCCTGTTGAGCTCAGTAGCAGGTATACAGAAGGCTTTGAGTTACAGCAGTTTTTTAAAATGACAGAGGCAGAATGAGTAGAAAATGTACCTCCTCTACAGTCAATGGCAAAATACCTATTGCCTTTTGTTGGGGTTAGAGCCTCACTGGATAATTCGACCTGAACCAAAGCTGCGCTAGATATATCCCATGTTTTGGTTTCATTCATGGCAGGGTGGCCTTGGTGTCAATCCTGTACATTAATCCTCTGATTTCTCTTTGGAAAGAAAAGGAAATATACAACATATTGGTCCTGATTCTCCAGGGTTTACACTCACGTTAGGGCTTTTATGTTTGGTCAAACCAGATGCACAGTGGCTAGTGACTATGAGAGGCTGCATTTTGTACTGTGTTTGAGCTGCTAAGAGCAACAGCACTGTTCATGGAAACTGGAGGTCAGGCCCTGCTACACTGTTTAACCTTCACCAGCCAGAACAGTGCTGTGTGGTATTGTATGCATTTCTAATGATGTCTTGATGTTTCCAGACAACACTGGTGTCTAAGTAAAAACCCCCAGAATTTTAGTGAAATTTATATTAGGGCATGTTAAGGCCTGATATCTCAACCAACCAAACAAAAAACTCCAAAAAGTTGTCTCTAGGTTGGGAATGTGTGGCATCAGGCTGCTTTAGAATAAGCTGCTTTAGGAGCTGTTTAAGACATATATATATATATTTAATAGTCACTTTCCTTTTATTGTTCATTTCATAGCATCTAGACTCAATGTTTTCATGCAGGAGCTAGCCAGATTTCACTGGTAGGCAAGTATGGCAATTATCACTAATTATCCATCTTACAAATTCACCTTAAAGTATTCATTGAGAAGTTAGATGTAGGAAACAAATACTGCCATCCTCATGTATTTATAGGTAGAAATGGATACAATTGTAAGTGATCGTATAATTATAGTGCTGTATTTCATCTAAGCTCTATTAGCTGGTGTATGTGAAACAGCTTCTTTTTTAAAGTCAGAAGTAAAATGCATCAGTTTAATCTACTCTTCACACAAACATATAGAGAAACATATGGTATCCCATCATCCCATACATAAAACCTCTCAGTACCAGTATCTGTGGGTGCATTTCAACCCCAATCTGTGTTAAATCATCTGGAATGGCAGCTCAGGAATTAAAATCAGAAATATCTATAACTTGTGTGTATTTCTTAATTTTCAGGTTGATGCTTCTTGATGGATGTCTAGTTGAAAAATGGAAGGATCAACGAAACAAAAGATTTAAGGTAAATGCAAACAAAGAAAAGAATGCCAATGTTCTTGATAAAACGTTAAACACCTTTGTTTTACTTCAGTACTGATTAACTTTGATGGCTTTCAGATATATGTAACTCCTCTGAATATCATTATTTTCACTTGAACATTTTCAGCCCTCATAGTTACCCAATTATAAGTGAAAATTTGAATACTTTAGTCTTGTGTTTTAGGATCTCTAAAATTTTATTTGTATTTAATTTTGCCCTGTGGGATGACCTTCATGTGGACTCTGGTTTCTTACAATAGTGTCTCTAGGAATTTCTTTCATATCCCTGCTACCATAAGGAGCAATGACACGAAAGTGAAGGTGATATGCAGATGAGTACATAGTCCACATTAGATAAGAAAGGAAGTTAAAATACTCTGCACTGGATTAATGTTTTTTGCTGCATTAAAGATTGAAGGCTGGGTACATACACTTCTCATCAGGTACTCCCTACTAAGACCCACCCAAAGGATTGGGCATTTTCTCTCTGGATTCAGGAAACACTAGAAGGAAAAGTCCAATATAGGGACATGGGTGACAGGCACAGCAGACGCCCCTGCTTTTTGAGGCTTCAGGATAGCACTTGATGTCACTCTCTACTTTTGAATTCCTCTTTTTAATGGAAAGAAAGGATGGATTGAGGGAAGGTCTGATTCTTCCTCCCACTTTTAGAGATGGAAGAAAGTTATTTTTGGAATTCAGAAAGGTTTTCAGAGCATTAAGGACATAGATGTATAAGGACATACATGTATGTTTGTTTAATTATGAGTTGATCGGCAATTGATAGGAGGAAAAGAGATGTAGGAATCCATAAGCAGAAGCTTAAGATTACAGACCAACTTCTTGCAGGAAATTACATTCAATCTTCTCTCATACCCTCTTCACTTACTCATGTGAAACCTATGTGTGGAAAGGAAAACATGCTTTAAATCTTTAAAAAATAAATACATGGCAATTGCCGAGGATGCCATATGGGATTTAGAAGAATATTGGCATATGACTTGGATTCCTGAAATCCTTTAGCTGTCAACTTAATGGCCTGTTACTGGTGCACAGTGTGTTTGTCACCCCCTCACACTGTTTATCATTTCTAATTGTGTCTTGAATCATGTTTGGGCATTAGTTTTCAAATTGTCAAATAGATGCATGACTGCCAAGCAAAATACCCTTCAAAGCACATGTCATTTCCTCTCATATTAATAGTTTCAGAAACTAAATCCTCGTTTAAACATGTTTTAGTGGGACACAACCAAATATCTGCAGATCGTTTTGGTTTTATAAAGATGCATAAATGACTCTGACCACACAAAGCCGGTATGGAGCTAGGTATCACAGTGACTTCATTTTAATACCTATCATTCATCTCTGAGGACTTTGATCCAGATTTGTTAGAATGGATGTTTTGAGCTGTCTGTCAACCACAGAAGACAGTTGTTAACGTAACCACAACATGGCTGGTCTTTTCTCCAGCCAGGGCAAGTGTCTCAGTTGCAACAAAGTCAGTGCAGAGGTACTGAATAGGGAAGCTGGAGACCGTTTCTTTTGCTCTGATCACTGGGTAAATCCCCTGACTTTAGGAGTTTCAAAAGATAATAGAGGGGAGAGGTGAGACCCTTTCTGGGTTCTAATACCTATGTTGTTTTCCTTAAAATATGTATTTCTGTTCGAGAGGTGAAAATCTGCAGTCTCTGTTGCTGTTTTATGGATCCCTCCATGTTTTGGAGAGCTGACCAGTTAAGCTTAATGTAAAAACCTATTTTGTAACTACTGCACTATTGGGTCTAAAAATCTGACAACTGTTATCTTTGGTAGGCTCGTTGCTTTTCAAAATTTCTTGGGGATGCTGCTGAATAAAGCTGCAGGTACATTATTCAAACCATGTCATTGGAACTCTCAACGTGTGATTTCACTGTGATCATCGCTATTGTCTGTCCATAACATAAGCTGATTCATGCCTAGTCCTCTCCACCCCAGGGAAAAGCAGAAGCAGAAATTAAATTCCAGCTCCCCTTGTAGCTGTGTGCTTAAATACATATTGTGAAAGGATAGTTTGAGTCCTGTAGACTTTTCTGAGGAAAAGTAAAGTAGCACGTTCAGCAAGACAGCAAGGGAGGGCCTTGCAAAGGAGTTCCAATATTCTGGTCCTGACCTTTTGATGGCATGGTACCAGCTCTCCTCTGTTTCTGAAAGGGCACTCGCAGCTTGAACATGAGATGGTCAATTGTCATTTCCATCCACTGTTGTTGTGGAAATTCGTTCTAACCTAGCACATGTGTAAGGTTCTCCCTGCAAATAGCCATAGCATGCTGACATCAATGGCCTTGCAATGCAGAGCATTAAACTGTTAAAGGCAGCACTAGCATCAGTGCTTCAGGATAGCTTTCATTAAGATGTAATTATTTTTGATATGTCCTTCCCTAACTCATTCTCTTTGTCTTCTGCATTTCTACAGAGGTGGGAACAGCGACTGCAAGAGCAAAAAAGGCGAACTGCACGCAGTAAGAACCAGAACTCAGGACGCAGTGGTCAGAGTGGAGCCCTGAAACCGCAAACCAAGAACACCAACCCACTGATCAGTGGCCCCAAAAAGGCCATTAAAATAAGAAATGGACAGAAAGAAATCAACCCCAAAAAAGTATGAGTGTGAAATTCCCAAAAGGAAGGACTTTCCCTGCACGACAAGGATTGCAATCTGGCTTGGTCAGCATGTTTTATTAATCTGGAGCTCATCGACTTAAAAATCATGTCAGTTTCTACATAGACGTTTTTGCTGCACTTTACTGTTACAAGGTTTGCTTATCCTTTCAAGTCACTGCAAGCCATAGAGCATAGGTTTGCACTAATATGAGGTAGGCATATTCCAGCTGACTGAACTTTATCTTTGGGCTCTGATTTCCCATCTAGATAGAACTAGAACTAGATAGAACCTTGGCTGCCAGAGGTTTTGACTCCTTGTATCAGCTGCCTGGTCTGCTTCCCTGCCACATGTTGGAGAGTGACATGGAGTTTCTCTCCTCAGCTGGTGAAGTAGTTGGTGAATTAGTCTGTGAATTAGCTGAGAGCTCACTAGACTCGGCAGCTGAGGAGCAGCAGAAGGATGGTAACCTCTGGCAGATATTTCAGCTGCATCTGCTGGAGTTGATCCTGTCTACTATTTGGAAGCATATCCCTTGTTCAGAGTGTTCAAAAGCATAGTTTACCATTAAGCATCTGGGCATTATTTTATTTTAATGTGTGTGCCAAAAATATGCTTGCAGTGATAGTATTTGATCTTGTGGGTTCGTGTAGTAAGAATGCATTCAAAGCAGATATTCAATTTTTTTATTGTACTTCAGGCTGGCTTCTGTTGTTCTAATTTCAAATATATTTAAACATCTAATTGAAAAAATTTTTTTGAAAGGACAGATTAAAGTTAACTGATCTGTAGGATTCTTTAACACAATTGCTGTATTATAGCTTTGCTATAAAAACTGGAATAGAAGCTTTATTCTAAATATAACTGACAGCTTCTGTACAGTATTAAGAAGATAGGGCTTCAAGTGGCTCAGTGATCATTTGGATAACTTTTTATAATTTGATACCATATTTCTAACCTTTCTCTGAGATTAAATAAATAAATAAATAAATCAGCCTTTTCCCTATTAATGAGCTTCTCAAAACAAGTGGCTATCTGCAGTTTTTCTTATCAGAAAGTAATGCTTACCCTGAAAAGGGTGACAGGAAAGCAGATGTTTTTATTTACACAGTAAGTTTACTGACTTAACATTTTCTGTGTGAGATATTAGAGCAGAAAAGATGATACAAATCTAATCAACATAAATCCAAGATGGCATTTATACTGTTCCTTCCAAGGTGTACTTGGATGAGGCAGCATAGATAACACATTCTGATTTCAATTTCATGTAACACACAAGATCACCCACATTAAGATCAGAAGAGTTAATGATAGATGCCTGAAAGACCTTCAAGATTTCCTACAGGAAGACTAAGAACTAGACTGTTCAATTCTGATAAAATGAGGATTTTTATGATAGAGAAATTCTATGCCAGAAAAAAAAAAAGGAGTTCTGTGTAGATTATCATAAGGAGTAACAATTGGTCATGCCATTATTTTGATCTTTGCATGACAAGAATTCCAATGAAATTTGCATGAGTGAAATTCACAATAGATTATGCTGAAGTGATTTTTGTAGCAGCAATTTTATACTTGGTAACTTGCTCAAGCAAATTTGAGACATAGATGCCAAGTTACTATGTTTAAAACAAACGGGCAGATGTGTTACAAGAAAATGGAATCTTGTAGTTCATTATAGAATTAGGTGGTATAAAGATTTGATTATAATTCTTCCAATACTAACAAAAGATAACATAATTATTCTTCTGATTTTTGTCCCAGCAGGAGAGAAATAGAATCACAGAACATGTTTATTTGTACCAAGGACCACATATTTCCTTGTTTTGGAACTTTAATGAAATCAAAACCTGACACTAAAGACTATATGAAAGATCTGTTTCAGTTTAGAATGACAAACGAGAGGGTTATAAATCTTAAAATATTGTTTTAGAGGAATAAGTATGTCTGATTGTACTGCATTTTTGTACTGAATTACTACCAAAAAAAATAAGGCAAGTGGAGAAAAAGCTTTTTTTCCCTGCCAAGAAGATGGAGTCAATCAGCTTGCGGCTCTGTACCGCTGCACTGTTTTTCCTTTGCTCTGACTACTGAATGAACTACACTGTCAAGTCAGACCTTGCAAATATCTGTTCAGTTTATCCACAGTTCCCTGTGAGCAAATGATCAGCTTTCTGGTTACCTTGCTCAGAGAATACATACTGAAGTTCTCTAAGTATCTACAAACTAAAGTTTTTATCCCATTGTAACCACAAGGAATCAAAATACTTAAAGTGTTCTGTTTGGGGCATCTCTTGATTACTCTGATAAAACCATCAACCTTCTATCTGGATGTAGACTGTCTGATATATATAAGGTACTTTTGGGGCTTGATCTTAATATCCCCATCTAGAGAAAAGGAGGATTGCCCTCCCTTGCTTTATGCTCATTTCCATAGTGGTTTATCCACAAGCCTTTTGGCAGCAGCAGGAACAAATCTAATATTAATACATTACCTGCAAGCCCTCAAATTTACTGCATATCCAACAAGCAAGTTTGAAATGCTGTTTTACATTCCAGTAAGGCTATTGTTTAATTTCAGAGATGCTACATGAAATATAGTGTTAGCAGTTGAAATTCACTGCAATTTTTTCAGAAAGTCTTGGCTAGCTCTAATCAGAAGTAATGCACTTCTATAGAAATTAATGACTTGCAAGTTCCTGGGGGGTGGGGATATTTATAAATCGAAATATAATTTTGAATGTTTGTTGACCCATATTGATGGATTATATTTACAAAATTAATTGTAGCTGATGTACTTTAGCAGAAAAATCTGTTTGAGGAAATGTTTTCGGATGTTCATTTACATTCAACTAACTGCTAGGTACAACTAAAAAGCATGTGTTGGTTGTGCGTAATTGGAATAAATATTTTTTCAGGTTTCATTCATTTGAAATGTAGGTTACAATTCTGGATAAAAGAATTTAAGAGCTGTTTGAGTGTTTTGGACAGGAAAATCTTTTTATTTGCTTAGGAAGTATTTCTCTGTCATATGCACTGACTGGATGAAAGTTGCAACACAGAATTGAAGTGATCGGGTCATTTGGGTCTTGTTGGAGAGGGATTTATGGTTTTTTTTTTAATGTTTCATAAAACAATTCTGAATTGCTTTTGTAGTGGGCATCTAAAATGGTGCCAATCATTCACAATTAGAGTAAATATTTTCTCAGGTTTCATTCTTTTGGAACTGAGGTTAGAACATTCAGTGAAAATACTGAATGGCATTTCTAACTAAACTGAGCACATGTGTATGGGATGCAGTAAGAAACTCACTAGAAACATATGTTTGGTGTTCCAGGTAAATTTTATTTTATTTTATATTTAAAAAAATGCCAAGCCCCTCAGTAAGAAGGCAGCTGCAACACTGAGAAACACTTCAAGAATTTGGCCTGTTAATTTTTTCATCTTTAAGTAGTTAAAGTAATTACATTAATCCATCAGCAAACTATTTGCCCCCCTTTGGTTAATCGAGGTTTCATGACTCCAGTGCTGGAGTGCATTAGTGCAGCAATGGCTACACCTGGCCATGGACATGCACGAGAAGAGGTGACTCTGACCTTTGGCCACATGCCAGGGAGCAGAGGTGGGGAGTGGACCCTCTGGAGAGGAATTTGCCTGTTCAGACAGCCCTCAACTGCTCCAACACCTATTTCATGCCAAGGGAAGGGAAGGGAAGGGAAGGGAAGGGAAGGGAAGGGAAGGGAAGGGAAGGTGGCTGGAGGGTGTGGATGTTCTGGGTCTGGATTCAGCTGGCAATTGATGTTACAGAGAGTTAATTGTAGGGGATTTTCAAAATGGAATGGCTTGCATTAGTGCCGAATTGGATTGACCCATGGCTTTTTAAAATATAGAAAAAATGGGTTTGGAAAAACACACTAACATTAATTTATTCCTTGCATGTCTATTCTTTCTATTATGATATCCCCTGCTTTTTGTTGTATTGCCTCTCCTTCTTCCATATTTTTATCATATCAGATTGAAAGTTAGTCAGCATAAAGTGTACATAAAAATGTTAAGGAGTTTGGAAACACTTGGCTTTGTGCTTCCATGTCTATTCCAGTGTATTGGAATGGTCAATCTAATGACAGCAGCTTGGAGAAGGAATGGTGACAAGTCTCAGGAGAAAATAATTTTTATATTTTTACCCCTGATGAAACAAAAAAAAGTTTGACTTTAATAGTTGTAAAATAATATGTGATGTTGCTGTGGAGTATAGGTAGCTGTTCCAAAAGTTTCATTTAACAAACACTACATTTGACTATGTTCACAATAAAATTTCTTCAAGTGATATATCAATACTTTAGTATTTATTATTTCAACATCACATTGATGTGACTGTTGCTCATTCTTTAATGGCTAACATATATCCATTTATTGAGGTATTTAAGTTTGAATCAATAGGTAATCAGAGCTTAAGAATTCCTGCTACAGAGTACATAAAACTATTTTAGAAGTTTTCCAATCATACTCATCTTTTAGATCGTGCCTACTTAAGTCAGCGTTTTCAAACTCACATAAATTAGTCACCTGCAAGTGAAATTCTGTCTCCTTTGATTTCTATTTCAGTTTTTCCATTTCACTGAATATGATTAAGGTTTCACCTCTAGGCTGTATTTAAGCACCTAAGTTTGTAGTCTTTTTTTTTTAGACGTGTCAAACACATCATTCCTACTAAAGTCAATAGATCCTATATATTCTCAACATTCCTGGCACCTGGAATGAATTTTAGATCTAGTTCTGCAGGTGTTCCATGTCAACACAGTACTGCACCTGACCAGAATTACCAGTAGGGCTACATTCAACTGCTGACCTTTGTATATTTTTAACCAGTTGCTCAAAGCTGAGCAATGGCCACTTAGGTTGTTTTTTTCGCCCCAAGCTATTCTATATGCTACTCTATTCTATAGTGCATTCCAGTCATAAAATAAGGAAATATGTGATCTGTAGTACAAATAAACATGCCCTGTGGTTCTATCTAACTCCTGCTGGGACAAAAATCAGAAGAATAATTATCTTATCTTTTGTTAGTCTTGGAAGAATTATAATCAAATTTTTGCACCACCTAATTATATAATGAACTACAAGATGTTTTCTAAATAAACAGTCATAAAGGCCACATTCTCTTTTGAATTGGCATTTAGATATGAGATAAATGGACAGAGAATTTTTGCAAGTTTTATATGCCACAGTTTTGTGTAAATTTAATTGTAGGAAGATTTTAATCTCTGCGACTCCATGGAGTTTATGTTGGAGCAGAGTCCTTCTGACACTATAAATCAAATGATTCTGATCCCACCAGAAATGTTCAAATCCTTAAAAATTGTATCCGTTTCGATGTCACAGTAATACAATTTTCGAAGAAGAGTGGGTGGCAGTATAAATAATGTGTGCAATACCTACAAGATGAGTTAAACTTTTAGAGAGACAAAGCAATCTTTTAAAATACTCACAGTATTTTGATTGCTATTCTTTTGAATGCATATTTTTTGTACAAATTGTACAAAAGTCTGCTTCTCAAAGATATAAAAGCTTTGCAAATCTGAATCTCTTCATCATCTGAATGAAACAGTTACATTTGATGTCTTAAGATGTATCTGTTAAATTTCTCCTTTCCAAAGTTGCTAAAAGACTTTAAGATCAAGAACATGTTTAGGAGAAGAAGATGGACATTAATAAATGAAATGTTCCCACATTTCAGTTTGGGTTTGTATATGTAGGCAACTTGAAGAAAAAACTATCATGGATCTATGCATAATATTTCAATGGAATCTACTGGATTGCTTTAACCAAGCACAAAGCACGGATTGTAATTGATACACATGAATATGAAACCCCAAATAGACAAAATCCTTCAACATCCAATAGTTAAACCAAACTGGCAAAAATCTTATATTTTTAAAGAATGATGTGATGCAATATGAAGGATAATGGTTAAGCAAGAGCAAATACTCAGTATACAAAATTTTACCATACTTAAATAGGCAGAAGCAGAGCTACAGTACCCTCACAGCAAACTGAAATTTCTCAATCCAGAGCAAAAAGTGATTCACAGTATTCATAACTCCTGTATGATACTTATCAAGCTCTTTGATTGTGAACTTCCACTGGACATGTTATGGACTCTTAATAAGACATAAAAGCATTTTGCTGTTTTAAACATTTCTGGTCCTGTCAAAAAATAAACCCACCTGAACTTTCACCTTTGTATTTGTCCCACTAGTTGAGAAGCTATTAACTCCAGCAAAGATCTGAAAAATGAGCTGAATTGATGTATGTGAAACTGCTGTACTTAAGCAAGCTACTCTTTTCTAAGGCTGCTTCTTGGTTTAAAGTACAGAATGCCAGGACCCAAAAGACCCAGGGTGCTTAAATAATGCCAGGAAGAACAGTTTAGAACATACAGCAATCCTGAAGTATGTTTCTCAGAAGCCACCTCACTAAGGTGACATAAATTCTGTACTAATTACAACCTCCTATAGGCTAGTGAACCTCATGCTGAGTTTGTGGCAGAAAAACAGCTATAGGTGAAAAAGGGCCATTAGGAGAATGCTCAGTCCAGCTTCTTCTGGAGAAATGTCTACAATGAGAAGTGCCCCATCACAACAGAAATATTTGTCAGGAAGCTCTTTATAGCAGCTAGTTGTATTAAATACATTAGGAACAATAAAGAAAGTATGAGAAGGACTTCATTCTTTCTAGACTTTACACTTAAAATCAACTATGTAAGTAAATTGCTTTAAGTGAATGTCATTCCTTAGAATCTCAACCTTCAACAGATTTGGACAGCAGAAGTGAGAATACATCAGCTACAGAATAATATTCGTGTTCTTCATGAAGGCCAGCCAAGTTAGACTGGACAGGATATGAATTCACTATTTTGGCAAGGAGGTACATGTCAAGAATAGCTGCTATGTAAGAGCTGGATTTATATTTTAGTTCTTCTGTTATATTTGAATTAAGTAAATGGACTGGAAAGGACCTTTTAGTTTATTATCCTACCTGTGACAGTAATCATTAGAAGCTATTTAGGAAAAGGATGAATAAATAATGCAAATGTTTTTCCGGGCCCTGAGGAAACCAATAGACCTTAATAGCCCAGAGCAGTCTCACCAGGGATGCACACATATGCAGTTGGCCAGTGGGCCCAGGAGCCTCATTTGGTTCACATTTGGAACTGCAGAACTCGATCCACATCACCAGTATATGTGCAATTAATAGTGTTTTAATCACCTTCCTTGACCCTTGTCCTTCCTTGTTCTTTTTAGACTAGCTATACACAAACCACCTTAGAATCCTGGAACTATTGGAAAGGCATAAATCTGTTAAAATGATAAAAGAAAAATCATTTACTAAACATACATAAAGAAACCATTACTAATGTCAAACTCCTAGCAGGCATTACTTCTTACACTGATATGCTTTGCAATATGGAAGAGCTGATAACAAAAACTCTCCAACTAAAATTGGATGGAGTATGAAGAAAAATAAGTGTGTTTATGTAGTCTTAAGTATAGTTGTTGGGTAGACAAATACATCTAATTACTTGAATATCAAATTTCAGAGACTGTATCTTAATTGTTTAGTCTGCATCCAGCTCTCCAAATGCAAACTGAATGCTTCTCAGTGCTTGTTCTATATTAGATGATCCGTGAACAGCATTAGACAAAATATCATGTGCAAACTGAGCTCGAATTGATTCAGAACAGGTCTTCTTTGCCTCTTCTGGATCAGTTGGACCCATTAGTTGCCTCCACTCTTCCACAGCATTTTCCTTTGATAAGACCATTATCACTGATGGACCCCTGTAAAATCAATATAAAGAAACTTTTACACTATTCTGAGATTTCTGAGATGCAGATGTAGTTTTAATGTCAGAGGTACCATGAAGTGTTCTAATAAGCATTGAACTATCTTAATTTTATTAAGCTGCATAAATATTAAAATTTGTTTCTGCATGTTTTGTTTAAGGAAAAATCCCATATTTGAAAGCCAAAGAGATTATGATGATCAGATATTTGGATTTGGACTTCTTGTCCAAAAGACATTCTCACCCAATAATTTCTGATGCAAGACAATACATACTGTTTTTATCAGCTATACTAACAATATTATGAGGAAGATATTTGTCCTGCATGAAGAGAGAAAGGATTCTGTTGGACAGCAGTTCCTTTTTAGGGAAAATAAAATCCAAAATTGAAGTTTGAAAAGAAATGTAAATCTCCCTTTTAAAGGAAGAGTGCTAGAAGCCACTAAACTTGCCAGAAAGAGTGACAGGTTGTAAAATCCTTGCACCAGTTATGGTGTAACATGTTTTTTTGGCACTGTACAAAGTGTGATGTCTGCTTACATACCTCAGTACTGTAAACCAAAACACTTACTATGTCATACAATTCACCAGCTGTTCAAAAAAGGGTTTTCCTTCATGATCCTTGTAAAACTGTGCAGCCATTTCACGAGTTAAGGCTTGTTCTTTTACCTTTGTGATGCTAAATCCAGCGTCTTTAACTTTTTTCATTATTTCATTTAGGAGAATAACAAACAAGCTCATTTTTGATTGGAATGGTTTAGATGCAACAAATGCAAACCCCATACACCAAAACTTTAAACGTTTCAGAAAATAGTAGATGCCTTTTTCTAAAAAAAATCAACAATAACTATTAGAATTCTTCTTGCAATATCAAATCAAATATGGACAACATAAGAAACACTTCAACAGTCCTTTAAAATAGGCAGAAACCATTGCAACTGCATTATCCATCTTGATGCACGTATCAAACCCAGATTTTAATAAACTATGCCAACAACATTCACTGTTATTTCTCATATTGAACAGAATGTGGACAGTAGTTGTAATGCTGTATCAAACATCACCTGGCCAGCCAAAATCAATCTGGATTTTCACAAGAGGGGAAGATAGACTCACAGAAGCCAATGATGAATTAACATTAGAAAGACTACCGAAATTTGTTAAGAGAGAATAAAATAATGTTAAGTAGGGAGTCTAGATAGAGAGTTTTTAAAGAGTGGAAGCAAACATCCTTAGGGCAAGATTCTGAATTGTACATAGTGCTCTTTTTATTTTGATTTTTTTCTCCTTATTCCCTTGGACTAACTGTAAGTTAAACCAAGAATGGGGATGTATCTAACTCAGCAATGACCCCTTTTGAGCCAGTAGAAATACCTGTCTGAAATAAGTAATAGTAGTTTGGCAAGTGTCTCTCTCCTTTGACTAATAAAGGTGCTGGGCAGGTAGTCTGCAGAAGTGCCTGGCCCTTAAACAGTTTCACTTAGCTAGGAACTCTCTTCAATTCACCACTATTCTAGTGAAGAAAGACCTATAGACAGCTTAAGCAAAAGAAATGTCACATTTCAGATCTCGATCTGAATTATGCAAGCCGTGTAAAAGCATTTCTCTGCACAGAAAATGTACTTCAGGGAATCAGAAGAATCTTTTGTAGAAATAATTTTATCACTAGATATAGCCCATACTTTCTAAATGCCTTACCTTTATGAGTCTTAGCAGCATCAGGTTTGATTAGTGCAAAGGTTTGTTCCTCAGGGAAGAAGAACTCTAGTTCCTTCTGAGCATCGCTGGGTGTAGAACTTCCATGCAACTGATTGATAGGTACATTTTCAATGGCATACTGTGCACGCAAACTAAGAGTCATTAAAAGAGTGAAGTTACTTAAAAGCATAGCCATTTTGAGCTCTGAACTATAATTAGCCTTAACCCGGGGAATATATATTAGCGTTGATCTGGAAATCCGAAATATGAACATCCTCCCTCCTAACGTTTTTACATTCCAAATTATACCACTTATTTCATAATGAAATGGCACTTCTGTCAGCAGTAGGTAAGATGATACCATTGCAGTTTCTTAGTGCAATGTGATAAGCATGTAGAACTAAGGTGTCTGTTTATAAAATGTATAGGAGAAACTTAGTCACAAATAAAATATTCTACTGATGCAAAGTTTTCAATAAGCTACAAGAAAATCGTAGTGGTATTTCAAGAAAAATAATGGTGGTATTTCAAGCACACTTCTCCTCCCTCCCCACCCCCATCCAATAAGGAATAGGTATTGCCAAGATTTTTTCTCAGACTCACACTCAAGGGTTCCCCTTTCACTTCACTGCAATTTTTAAAACTCAGCTTTTAATTCTGTTTAGCAGCCATTATATCATATATATACATTATATATAAAAAATGCTGCAGTTTCTATGTGTAATACACTACTACTTCCAAGAAAAGCTTAAAAAACTGCAGAAATGCGTATCTGTTTCCAGATGATGGCACTATAGTTACACTAGTTGGAATGTGGAACTAGATGAGGAATACGAAAGTAAGTTGGAAGCTGTGAATGATGGTTTACTTCTGCAGTTTTTACCTCTCTGGATTTTCCTGAGCCTCTTCAAGAGTCTTTGGGCCTAGTAAACCTCTCCAGTGTGATACAGCATTTTCTCGTGTTAGAGCCAATACAAGAGTTGGACCACTGTACAAGGGGAAAAGTAGCACTTAAAAAAACCCCAAACTCTTGGAACTTTTAAAAAGTAATTTGATTATATAGCCCAGACTAGGAAAATGAGCCCCAGTATTGGAGGACCTTAAAACTGATATGATTATTTAAACAGGTACAGGCTGATAAAACCTTATGGGGCTTAAATATGAATTTAAATTGTAAAATTACTGTATTTTGTTACAATGGCAAGACAGAAAGACTGATCATGCCACAACCATGTCCCAACATCATATGAAAGGAATATCCAAACGTGATTTATTGCTCTTCCCCAAGGTATCCAGCACACAGCCTGGTTGAAGATTTCAGAGCTCTCCTACAAACAACCTAAATGCAGCCTTTTCAGAGCATACCTAAACTGTTTTCACTCAAATCAGTGGACTTGGCCACTGAGACATCATACATAGAACAATATGGAGTAGGTAGTAACTTTTAAAAGCTTGGGGTTTTTTTATTTGTTGTACTTGAAAATTATTCCGTTATCTGCAGTTATCTGTTCCTGTTTTGTCTTCTAATAAACTTTTATACACGTGTATCTCGCTGCCATGTATTATCCAGGAAGTGTTCAACACCAGGTTGGATGGGACACTTAGCAACCTATTCAGGTGGAAGGTGTCCCTGCCCATGGCAGGGGGTTGGAACTAGATGGGCAATAATGATGCCTTCCAAGGCAAACCATTCTGCGCATCTATGATTCAATAATTATTAAATGTGAAAATTTCAGTCTTATCTGATTCTGTAGAGATTCTATAGATTTACATTCTCCTTTTCCATTCAACATACCTGGTCATTTGCTCTAGAAGGACTGAGAAGTAGTCTTGATCTACATGTTCTTTGTAAAATGTACGTACTTGTTCCTCAGAGAGAATTATTTCTTTCTGCATTGCTATTTGGAAACCGTCATCCTTTATTCTTTTCATGATGGAATCTGTTAAATATATTGAAATAATGCTAAATTGCCATTCATTCATTCATTTGCACACTTGTAGAGAAACGACATGGACTTTTCAATGAAAATTTTATATTTTATGGGTGAATTTGTTTCCTAACTAAAAAACAGGAAACTAATTTAAAGCAACTGCTAGGAGGCATCACGAGTTGCCTGGACACTCAGAAAACTAATCCTCATCATATTTAAGCATTCTCTTGGTTAAAAAACCTCAGTAGGAATTCCTGACTGAGAACTATGATACATGTTACTACCAGAAAAAGAAGGTCTAAGGAATTTGAATAGGTGAAATGTTTACTTAACTAAGTCTTACAAGACCACAGGGGTAAGTAAGCACTATTTGGCACAAGTCAAAATTACCTACAAAATTAGTGTGTAATTACCTAAACATGAACTGCAGAACTTCTGCTCTAAGCAACATGCTAGACAACCATTAGGAAAATAAATTCACAAGGAAAGATCAAGATTGTAGTCTTTCAACTCTCTGCACATAAGTTTGCTCAAGTACAGGGATTCTCAAGTTAAAAATACTATCTGAAATCTAGGAAGAAATGTAAATATATGACTGAGAAGAAAAGTAAATTTGTTTGGATGAAGCTTCATGTAATGGGGTAGATTTTTAAATTTCATCTGTAAAAATATTGTTTAGAACTGCCCTTGAGCAGCATTGCCTCATGTAACATAGAGCATCTTGGATTGGATATTTTTCCCCTTGCCATTGATCTATCTCGAGCCTGCTATTCGAGAATATCAGCTGCTTTATTATGGTGAGAAATATTGTCCCCTATACTATGTTTGAAAATATGAGCTTCTCTGAGAGGTCTTCTGGAAATATTTCATCTACAGAGTTTCTTGAAAAATTAACCAAAGGAACAAAATATCATTGACATTTGCATTCTCAATATATGAAAATCATTAACCTCATAACTTCAATCCAGACAAAGATTAGTGCTGGCCTAACAGTGGAGAGACAGTACAGCTTAAAAATTTCTCATTAATTGAGTTAGAATTTATAATTCAAAATTCAAAATATGAGAATATTTATATACCCTTGATAGAAAATACAGTTATTAACACTTACCTTGCCTTTCCTTCAAGAGACTAGGTCTAATAATGGCCAAAGTCCTTTCAACGTGTGTTCTACCTTAGTTATATGAAAATTTGGGAAAAAGAAGGCAAGTTGTCTGCTGGCATCTTCAACACTATCTTGCAAATCACATAAATTTACCAGACTCTCAGTTTCTGCGAGTCCTGGCAACCTGATGAAACATGAAATAATGCAGTATTTAAGTCCCTGTGTAGTGTTAACAAACTGACTTTTTGAAGACTTTCTTAAAATTTAGTGAAACATAAGAATAGAATGCAAAACTAGGTTTTTATTAAATTCATATTCATGCGTAAAGTAACATTTCTGAGAAGAGAATTATGAATCTTCTCAAAAAGTCCCTGATTATGTGCTCTGAAGGAGAAGTCTCAGCCAGGCTGCTTTAACAATTCCCCTCTAGCTTATCCAAAATAGTTTCTCTGTTACATGAAACAGAACTACTACTGACAAGTACACAGGGTATAATGAATGGTCACTGGAAGTCTTGTGCTTAATTCATGCACAACATGATCATAAAAATGACAGCACTACAGAGTTGTTGATAACAGAGACACTTCTCATTGTTTCTTGCCTGTTTGTTTAGCTGTGTAAATAAAGTCCCTCTTGGCCAGTTGTAGAATATGCAGTATTCCCCAGCTACACTAAACTAATGCAGAAAGGGATGCAGCAGGCATCGACAAAAATGTCAATTCTTTTCCGGACAAAGTGTTTAAGCTCATGTTGCTTTAAGTAAATGTCTTGTCTAAATATAAAACTTAATTCGATACTTGAATTTTTGTGAATACTCTATTGTCTGAGTCTGTGTATACAACTACCATCCTTACAATTCTCTACAAACCCTTGGCATAGAAGAGAAACACACATTTCAAGATACCATGGTTCTGAACAGCTAATCCTTACAAATTTTTTTGTATCTTTATGCAGAGTGGGGACACAAGCCCCAGTACCCTTCTCCTTCTCTGCTGGCTTTTACAGTGTTCCCAGGGAGAAGAGCATGCCTCAGGTGTGCCCTGGTCTGCCCTGGGCCATATCTACAGCTTCCTGAGAAACGTAGGAGAAAACATGGAAAAGAGTGCAATCTGCAATCGGCAGTGCTGGCAGTCCCCCTGGGCATGGGTGAACTAGAATTGCAAGGGCTACATCAGCTTTGAAGTGTATCATTGCTCCCGTTGTTCTGAGAACTCATTGAAGGTGAGTTCAAAGAGATCAATGATCTCGGCTTGTCATCTTTAACTAGGAAGCAAAGAATTTCTGAATTCCAGTGAGAACTTGAGAGGTTGCATCTCTAGTGGTAGTCCTGTGAAGGACTAGGCGACCAACTCAGCCTGGTCCCTGGACCTGCACACATGGGCATGTGTCTGTAGGGACATGCCTTGGTTTATGCTGTGCTCTGAACACTGTGACTGAATCACAGATACGCATTTTCACTGGTAGTTACTTAACTGGCTCCTCAGGCTCACCAGACACACTTGTTTTGTGTAGTTCTTTCCATTGAGGAATAGCATCACTTGTTTCTTTTTTAGTGATTATCAAAACATGGCATGGTCCACTCATCATGAATTGAACAAATGCGTCAAAGTCAGGCTAAAAAATATAATTTCCCCCCCACTATGAATTGCAGGAATTCTGAATTTGTCATTAGAAATGAGACAATTATGCTTTTAAAGTAACTCATACATTCCTGTTTCAAACTGGCATGGACATACATTCCTCAGAACTCTGGTAAACCGTTTGGGAAGTTTTTGATCAATCATTTGATACAACATTATCAAATGTCTAAAAACAAAGCAAATTGAGATAAAGAAAGGCATATAACTACTTTAAACGAGTATTAGATATTCTTCCAGGTTAAAATGCAAATGACAAGAATGAAGAAAATGACCTAGAAATTCAATGTGATCACTGGCTATGCTTGTACTACAGCATGTAGTGTGACGTAAGAAACTGCAATAGAGTTCCATGAATAATTTTTGAAACGAAAAGTCATGTAGCTGGCTATAAATATAGAGCGCTGAATTACTTGCAAGACATTTGCAGGCTTTTCCTTCATTTGCTTTGCTATGTGCTTTTTACTTCTTCAATTTCAACTTTCAATCCTATAAAAGTACATTTCCATCAGAAAAATAATTTTTGAAGCTTGTGCTGTGAGTTTGAATTTTTTTTTTAATGTCACCTTTTTCTTGAGATATCTAGTCTCCTTTTAAATATTTGACTAAATCCTTACCAGTCAGCATCACATCATTGCATATGATGGTTTTTTCCTTTAGTAATAAAAGAATGAAGTATTCACATATATGTTTTCAATTCACTGCTTTTCTCTTTCAATTATCTTCATATCTATGCATATTCTAAATCCGTTTCCCAAAATGAACAAACTTGGAAGAAACAGAGTGAAGTGTAAAAAAATTTCAGTACTATGCATAAAGGGTATCTTTATACTGTGGTGGCTCCAAAAGTACTCTTGCTTATGTTAGAAGAACTACGTGTAGCTGTTAATTTTGTCTGTCCTGCATCTTCTTCCTGGAGCTTCATCATTAAAAAGAAACAATTTTTGCTTCCAGTTTAATCTGAATGTCTATCACCTTGAGTCTCCATTCCCTTGTAAAAGGCAGACTCCAGGAATTCAGCAAGATTGTGGAGTATTAAATCAGGAATAACATTGTTCACTGAGCACAAAGGAATCAATATGTTTTAACAAAATTATTTTTCAGCTTAAAATTAAACTTAAGGAATTCCAAATAATTGGCTTCTCAATATGCACAGGGCTCTCTGGAAACATACATTTCATAGCAGTTTTATTATTCTTCTGTCGTAATGTTGGCAGGGATCTGCTATGGTGTAATAGTGTTGTTTTCCTTTCGCCACGAGATATAAAAAGTCATGGTGAAGACCCAGATGACAAAAAAAAAAAAAAGGAAACATTGTATGCATCTTTTAAAAAGGTAGAAAGGAGGACCCCAGGAACTACTGGCCTATCAGCCTCACCTCTATGACTGGGAAGACCATGGAACTGATCCTCCTAGAAGCTGTGCTAAAGCTCATGGAGGACAAAGAAGTGAATTGGAACTGCCAGCATGGCTTCACCGAGGGCAAGTCCTGCCTGACCAACCCAGTGGCCTTCTACAATGGAGTGACTTCATTGTGGACAAGGGCGGAGCTACAAATGTCATTTGTTTGGACTTCTGTAAAGCCCTTGACATGGTGCCCCACAACATCCTTCTCTCTGAAGTGGAGAGAAGTGGTTTTGGTTGCTGTTTGGTAGATAAGGAGTTGGTTGGACAGCTGCATCCAGCTGTAGTGGTAGTAGTCAGAGGCTCAGAGTACCAATGGACATCAGTGACAAGTGGTGTCCCCCAGAATTCATATTGGGGATCAGTGATGTTTAGTATCTTCAAAAATGACAGAGGTGAAGGGATTGAGTGCACCCTCAGCAAGTTGCAAATGACACCAAGCTGACACACCCAAAGGACAGTATGCCATCCAGAGGAACATGCACAAGGAGGTGGCCCATGAGCATTGAGCATTAACAAGATCAAATGCAAGGTGCTGCACCCGGGTCAGGACAACCCCTGGTATCAGCAGAGGCTGGGGGATGAACAGATTGAGAATAGCCCTGGGGAAAAGGACTTGGGAGTGCTGGTGGATGAGAGGCTGGACATGACCCATCAATGCGCACTTGCTGCCCAGAAAGCCAAATGTGTCCTGGGCTGCATCCAAAGCAGTGTGGCCAGCAGAGCAAGGGAAGGTATTCTGCCCCTCTTCTCTGCTCTGCTCTGGTGAGACCCCACCTGCGTCCAGCTCTGGGATCCCAGCACAGGAAGGACATGGAACTGTTGGAGCAAGTCCAGAGGAGGCCACCAAGGCAATTCGAGGGATGGAGCACCTCTCCCATGAGGAAAGGTTAAAAGAATTTGGATTGTTCTGCCTGGAGAAGGCTCTGGGGTCACCTAATTGTAGCCTTCCAGTGTACTTGAAGGGAGCCTACAAGAAAGATGGAGAGGGAATATTTACAAGAGCATATAGTGATAGGACAAGGGAGGATGGATTTACATTGAAAGAGAGTAGATTTAGATCAGAAGAAATTCTTTACTGTGAAGGTGGTAAGAAATAGGAATAGGTTGCCCAGAGAAGTTGCAGATGCCTCATCCCTGGAGCCCTGTTCAAGGCCAGGCTGCATGAGGCTCTGAGCAACCTGTCCTTGTGGAAGGTGTCCCCACCCTTGGAATCAGATGATCTCTAAGATCCCTTCCAATCCAAGCTATTCTGTGATTTTATGATTCTGTGATGTATCAAACATTGTGTTTTGTTTGTCTTTGTTCTTCCCGCGTCTACCTCTACGTTTAACTAGTCTCAAATTGGCTGCTATTCCCATGAAGATGAGTCACTTTTACCTCTGTTTCAAAACTGCCTCCATCTAACCTACAATCCCAGTTTTCCTAAAACCAAGATCTTCATGGTTCCTTACTATGTGTTTTCTTTTTTCTCTCTGACTTTAGTAGGAGCCATCTCATCTCACTCTTATTCATTTGGAATGCCACAGGGACCCCTTCCCACCTTCTTAAGATTAGGTGAACCCTTCCATTGCTCCCTCTAATAATGTCAAATTATTTGTCTGCATATAGTTCCAGCCTCTGTCT